TACATAAGGCCACATTGTAACACAATTAAGATGCAGGTATATAGCAGAGGTATCTATGGTATGAATAAGGATAATATGGTATGTATATTTAGTTTGATCTTCCTCTAGATTGATTGATGATTGAGACACGTGTCGAGGTGTTAGAATAACAGTTTAATGTTGGGATGAAACTCCAGTAATTTTCAACTAATAAAGGGGACAGCCCAAGAAGGCGGACCAATTTTTGATGTACCCCCATAAAACGAATATCAAATGAAAGGGGTTTGTTGAAGAAAATACAACCCCAAAGATGGTGAATTATATTTTCTTCTCACATCCCCATTATGAAAGAGTTCAAAAAAAAAGGAAATCAAAATAACGAAACACAAAATAGCCGCCATACCAATTTTATAGAGTCATATAATTTGAAAATACTTACAGTAAATTGAAAGTACTGACACACGTTCCAAATATCATGTGTGTTACTCCAAATATGATAGACAACTTCATTTTGAAGGAATTCAAAAATATAATTTTATTTTTCGCAGTCTGAAAAAGAAAAAAAATAGTAACGAAACGGAATTAAAGTGAAATAAAGAGTACAGTGAAGATATTTTAATCCTAACTTTCATTATGAATGACAACATATTTTATTGTTCTGTGGCCAGTCTCATTGCGAAACAAAGATCGTGATGCGCCTTCAACACAAGCAAAATTGACCAAAAGTTGAGAGATCGAAATAGAAATTCACAACATAAACACTTTGATTAACAATTCGGTATTCCACTTGTTAAACTTTATGTAAAATCGTAAATTAGGAAACAAACCAGATATTTTGTTTTGCTGTAATTGAATAATAAAAAAACAACTTTTGAAAATGGAACTGAATTATGGAATCATTATTTTCATCGCTTTACTTTATTACTCCAGTAAAATTTGCCAATTGTTATGAACAATGAAAAATATCTTCTGATTATTTATGATTTCATCTTTCCTTCCAGCTTCGTGTGGAAAAATATTTCAATTGACAAATCACTTGAGACGCATATATAACTGAAGAGTAGAAAAAGTAAAACGAATACGATTGACTTCGGTAACTTCAAATTATTTTGAGAATGTAAAAGTAGGTTTATTGACTACAATCAAAATGAGTCATAAATATTGAACAACACAAACATTTTAAAGATTATCTAAAATATTCTGCAGTCAGAGAAAATATCTACATAATATCAACACAATACTTAACCAACCTACAAATGAAAAAAGAAGAAGAAATAACACATAAACTATTGTCGAAATTAGGTTGAAGAAATGTTCTATATATTTATTGACTGAGTTAAAACAATGTCTCAGAAGACAGTTTTTCACTGTTTTTTTCAACTCAGATTGACTAAGAACTTTAAACTCCATAGGAAGACGATTATACAAATTATAGTCCAGGCTCTTGTTTTGAGATTTTGTTAAACGAAATCGTTTTTATAATACATTTGTAAAAGAATTTAATTGTATCTCAAACTTCCTGGAAAATTGAATAATTATGTTTTGTTAATTGCTTTTGTTTATTTACCGTGTTAGGAATTACACGTTAAAAGGTAAGACCTCGAGTCCTTAGCTCGCACAAGTTTCTCAACTTCTGAGAGTTGTCGTTCATATGGGGGCGATAGCTGATTAACTGAAAACCAGATTTTAAACCAGATTTGGTAAAAAAAAACCGTGTTGAAAATACTAGTGTTGAAAATATTTTCAGCACGCTACTTTGTAAACATCATCTTTTAATACTCTTGACAACCATTAAAAATGTCACTTGTTAATGACAGTTGTACAGAAACATTTTTTCCTATTCAGTTTTTACTTCAAACATTCGTAATGTGATTCAGATATCATTCACATGACTGCTACAAAATATAGTATATATAATATATGGAACACTGTCATCCTCAGTGGCGGACATCCATGTTTCAGAATGAGACACTGTTCTTATTGCCTCTTCAGCACCAATCTGGATAACATCACAAGATCAAGCACTCAATCCATTCATAAAATTACGACCTTATGTCACGAATGAGTTGAATCTACTCATGTTATCGATGACAGCACATTCACATATGTAATTCAATCCTAGCCTAGGAATGTTGTTTAAATGTTTGTTGAATTCGTTTTACTTATTTTATAGTTACATGTGACGAACAACAAAGAATCAACTTTGAATAAGAATAAAATGTAAACATAAAAACTGTTCAGGTTGGTATAAATCTTCAATGAAAAACATATCTGCAAGTTAAGAATGTATTATGTCTAGAGCGATTAAAAATAATAATAGTGCAAAAACCGCGACGTGTTTCGCTATACAATAGCTTTCTCAAGCGTGAAATGAAAAGTTACTTCTATATTACAACTATTTTATACTCTTACATATTAAATACTTGTATGCCTACTTGCTGATAAATGAATCTACCTGAAAAGGTCAGGTATAAATTCATTAACTATATGAATAAATTAAATTTCCGAAAGTACCCTAATTATACTTGACTTTTCTTACTTGGAAATAAACAGATTCAATAATGGCAAATTGTTCAGTTCCGTTTGATCGTTCCTAAGGTATCGAAACTTTTTTTGAATTTGTATATTTCCATACTCTCCAACAGGTTAAGTTTTAAACCTCTTTTCTGGAAATGAAGGGGCTTTAATTCATGTCCTTCTATGATTAAATGAGTGGCATATGTGGAATTGATTTTCTCTTCTGGAAACTATTTCTGTATTCCTTCATGCGTGCTTTAAACGTTCTTCCAGTTTGACCTATATAAAACATCGGACATGATAATTTATACGCTCCCGAGTTCTCTGAAACTGAACTTTTATCTGTGTTATTCTCAATTTGCATGCGTAAGTTGTTATTGGTTTTGTAAACAATATTTACACCTTTGTTGTGCAGAAAATTTGAAATATTAGTAGTGGGTTGGCCTAAGTAGGTTGAGGTTCTATAAATTTTATCCTCACCTCTTCTAATTGGGTAAACTTCCTTCAAAGCTTGGCTGTATAAATTTTTTGATAATACAAAATATTTTATTGTGTTTAGTTCTTAATTGAAATTCGTATATGACAAGGGAACATTTATCACTCTATGGATAATACTGTTGAATGCTGCTACATTGTGCTGATACGGGTGGGTGGACTAATTATTAATGATAATATATGTATGTGCTGGTATAAGATAAATTGAAAAATCATGTTTATTGTTAACATTCGTTATTGTCAAGTCCAAAAAATTAATAGAGTTGCCCCTTTCCATCTCCATGGTGTGTGTGATGGAGAAAAACAAAGTTAAAAACTCTTAATATCTCATGAAAGATCAAACGGAACTGAATAATTCGCCATTATTGAATCTGTTTATATCCAGGTAGGAAAAGTTGAGTATAGTTACGGTTCTTTCAAGAATTTTATTTGTTCATATGGTTAATGAAAGTAGGTATACGAGTAGGTAATATGTTAGAGTATAAAATAGTTGTAATTTAGAAGTAACTCATAATTTCACTCCTAAGAAAGCTATTGTATAGCGAAACACGTGTCGCGGTTTTTGAAAACCTTTTATAGTGAAAATCATACAATGAACTATATTAATGAGTTCAAGTACCTTTAGATAACCTTTGAAAACCCAATTGATATTTGATGGATCAAATACATTTATTAACCTAAATACAAATCTCATAAAATTGACGACAAGTCCTCTTCTTAATCTCGATCAGAAATTGAATCAATTATTCTTGCCTTCAATTATATGTATAATCTCCCCAAATTGCTTCTATCACAAAACTAACTCAATTTTTAGTTACTGATAAACTACTGAAATAAAAATTATGGATTTTCTAGTGACTTACAGAATGTTTTCAACTATACATGAAAGTTTTCATGTATAGTTCTTTTCACAATACTAGAGTATCAGCTGTTCCCTTTTGAGAAGTGATAACACAGCTCTTCAAAAAAAACTTTTTTTTTGTGTTGCCCTGGATATTTTTGCAAATTTTTATGTTTTCGAGTGCCTAAATCACGAATATTTTTATGAAAGTACTGAATGTGCTCTATTTTTTATGATTTTTACGTATCTTGTATTTTTAATAATAATCGGCTTGTTAGTAAAAAAAATTTATTTTCTCAGTCATGATTAGGCTTCTGCGCAACTTTTTGGCGCTTACAAACATCACGTGATCCCCACTTCTCGGGCTNTTTCGAATTTTTGTAATGTAAAATGAAAATAAATATTTAAAAGAAAACGAGAGCAAATCTTACAAAACCATTGATAATTTCATGAATTGTGAGTATAAATACACCCAAAATCAATCTTATATCTAGGGCAACAAAACCACTGTAGACCAGTGAATTAATGTCAGCCCCACATTAGATATTTAAATGAAAAAATCCAGAAATGTTTGAGAAGAATGAATATCAACGAAAGCGATATCACCGGACAGAATATCCCATAGAAAAAACACAATTTTTACTTACAATCGATTGATTTGGCCGTGGTAAGGAGATCATCATGAAAAATAAGAAATGTAACTTTCTATGTTGTTTTACCACTTTTATTTGTAAATCACGATACTGCAGTTTCATCCTATAAGGACATTTTCAAATTAATACATGTATTAGTTTGAAAATGTGAACAGAACGGCGCTACGTGCCACACAGATCACGCCACATTGCATATTTTACACGAGCGATTTGGGGGGATGGTCATTTCACATGGAGGTGATGTGAACTGACCACCGATATCGTGCGATTTGACCCCGTTAGACTTTTTCTTGTTGAGTTTTCTTGGGTGGCAGTTGTTTGCAAATAAGCCACAAACCAAAGAGATCCTCAAAGCCAACATAATCCATGCTATCGCTCAAATTCAGTCTGATTTATGCGCCAGAGTCATGGAAAATTGGACGTTTCGGGTGCGCTCCACCCAGAGAAGCCGTGGCGGACATTTGAACAGTGATATATTCCACACATAATGACATCAATAGGTCCTCCTTTTATTTCAATTTGAGGATAGGATACTTCTTCAATTTCACAAAAGATATAGAAAGAACGAAAAATCTCCTTTAGTCAGTATGGAAACGTGTTGCGTTTTTGTAAACTGTCCAGTGAAAATCTCACAATACAGTGTTTCTTGAATAAATCCCCTTTAATTATTGACATAACTTCTGAAGACCACAAGATGGCGCGTACTGAATAGACACCTTCAGCTGAGCTCCTATTGCTTTGTTTCAAAGTGTGCTTCTATTGTCTTTAAATTGTTCAGATTCGAGTATAACTCGTCAAACGGTGACTCAGAGATGACCGGCAGAAAACAACACAATCAAGGTGCAACGGCAACAGATGATATTAGCAAAATGACTTCTCCTGTTGATAAGCTGGAAGAATACCTAAAAGAAGGCTTGAATGATTTAAAATCCCAGATCATTTCTCTTGAAGATGAGAACGTGAGTCACTTTTTGAAAACAGTCTCTGCCTTCGAAAATAAAGTGCAGCAGTCCATAAATACACTCAAGTTAGAGATAAATACAGTTCGTGAATAGATTGCTGTAAGTAAGAAAGAAATAAATATACAAAAACAGGAACGAGCAAATGATATCATTGTGGTTTATGGAGGGAAAGAGAAAGAAGATCTGCAGGAAGAAGCGTGCAAACTAATGAAAACATAACTGAAAATCTCCATATCGCCCAGCGATATCAACTATTGCTATAGAATTGGCAAAAAACTAAAGATAAACATAAAGGCACGGCCCGTGGCAGTTAATAAATGGAAGAGATACGTTGTTTACATGCCGAAGAAAGGGTAAGACACTGGTATCTCGAAGAGTGAAATGCTTTTTCCGGAAATTCGTGATTTACTTAATGAAGTGCGAGAAAGACTAGTTGTGAAAAATTGCTGGACTTGGAGAGGTAATGTCTATGGCAATATCAATAATATAAAGTCACGAATCACAAGTGAAGATGACCTTTCAAGTGTAGGCCCTGAACAAGCAATAAACTATGCCAATCAACGCACATGAATTATAGTTATAAGACTTTCTAGGGAGCGTCTAATACAGAAGACTTTTTTTTCTTCTCTTTCGTGATTATATTACGGAAACATTTCCTGATATAAAATCATTAATTCCTTTCTGAACTCGTTACAGAGAACTGCGTCTCAAAATACAGGGTATATGAAAAAAATTTGTTGGGACTCAAATTGAAATGTTCTATTTAACAGTTTTATGTTGTTGCAGAACATTACTGGATTTAAACTCACTTAAATTCTAATGGAAAATAAGTTTTATAAGTTAGTTGTAAAAACGTTTCTTTGATAATTTCCTGACTATTTTATAATGGTTTTTTAATTTTATTTCATAAACGTTTCTATGACAAATTTATAAAACACTTTTATTGCCTACATAGGTACAAATTTCAAT